TATATAAAAGAAATTAATGCAGTACAACATTTTTTAAATTATGACAAATAACATAGAGGAGAATGATTACCATGGTCAATTAAGAAATAAAGAGCATAGATTTCTCAAACGAGAGACTAACAACATGTCTATATACATGATTGAACTAGACCACCGGTATCAACAACGAGGAAGAAACAACCATAAACAACAATTAACTATGGCTCTTTGCCCAAACAACATCCTAAACGTAGGGAAGATTGGAACAACATGAAACGCCGATATCAATTTGATAAAATACAATTAACACATAACCAACCTATTTTAAATAATGCTAAATGAGGTATCCCAATCTCACATAATTAATAAGTTGTGAAGCTAGACCTATACAATCACTTCAACAAAATCCAATTTCTTACACAAATATTACTACAACATATATATTATACATCAATAAACAATCACTAAGATAATGACAAACAATATGAATAGAGACTATAACAAAGATAATTACACCACATAAACATTTAAAGCATTTACTAAATCCAAATCTTCTAATGACAGACTAAGTTCACTAAAAAAATTCAGAAAATAATCCTTAAAAAGTATTGATTAGGTACAATGAAAAAACATCGAGGCAAACTCAAGTACTTCATTTAATACCAATGGTGACAAACACTTATTTAAATCTATCCTAAGACAAAGTGAAACAGAGCAAGATAGATTAAAACTTATGATCAAAGGCTATGAAAGCAATTCACAAAAAAATGATTTCATCATTAAGAGCACATTGCTGCTTGGAGAAAAAGAGTCATACAATTCACTTTTATGATACACACATATTCAAAAAATTATGATTCACAGGATGACAAAGATTAAACTCAAAGGCATTAGAGGCTAAAGCATATACGAAAAGAGTTCAAGCTAAATGAAAGCCACAAACATCGCGAATCGCGATAAGATGTTTGAATAATAAATATACCAACTTTAGACATATCGTGAAGTTGGAAGTGTGGTGGGCTGAAGCCTGAAGGAAACTTTATGAAAGAGTGGACTGGTAATTGACAGAGACATACAATTATTATATATAATTGGCAATATATAGCCCAATATTAATTAGCAATTAATAGCCTAAAACAAAATTAGCACGTATTAGCTTAAAAGAAATAAAACCAACTTTTTATAGTTTTTTTCTTTTAATCATGTGCAACCAACCCGCATTAATTAAGGAGATGTGGGATTATTTTTTCTTCCTTGTTTTTAACTCCTATAATTAAGGAAGTTAGCTTTTCAATTTCTTTAAATTCTCAAACTCAACTTTATTTAACTGTCTATAAAAAAAAATATTGACGCAATTTACAGAAAAATAAAGATATATTTGATTGTAATTTTATGAATTATTTTTTTTACCAATCAACAATAATTAGTTTATTAGAAAACCGATTGCCTACTTTTAAGAAGTGAGATATATATATTTATTAATTAACACATTAAAAAAAGGTTACACCAACTTTTAAGGAATGAATTTTTAAAAATTCTTTGAATAACTTATTAAAAGATTGTGCCTACTTCTAAGGTAAGAAAATGCATTATTAATGCTCTAACGTGTATTAATTATCACATAATCGACATAATTAATCAAATAATATTAAATGCTTGAAGGCCTTTGTCCTACTTATAGTATCAGTCCTCCAGCCTATACTTGTGTTTTTATTAACCACATTTTATTAGAAACTGTAATAATACATATGCATAAACTATATAATAATTAAAGTTGCGATTGCATAATGTATACATAAGAAAAAATATGTATACACAAAAAAATATTCATAAAAATAGACGTGTAAATTTTATTGATGTATACAGTAATTGTAGCATGTATACATAAACTTTATATTGTATACATAAGAGTATTACCATCAATTATACGTATTACTATAATGAATACAAGAATGAGATTAATATGATACATATATAAATTTTATTCATTAATTGTACATGTGATTTTGTTTATGTATACGGTAACTGCACTATGTATACATTAGTTCATATTCATCGTGTATTCAGTGATTTGTATTCACATAATAAACTTGTATACTTTAATTTAAATTGAGATTGGAATTCATTAGTATACATTGGGTTGTATTCATCAAAATCAACATTCTGATTTTTTACAAAGATCTTACGAGAATCTTTCTTACCCATGAAATTGAGAGCAAAAATTTCAAAAAACTATTACCTGAATTTTCGCCAAAAAAAGTTTTAAAAACTTTAGTTCCAAAAATCACAAAATTTCAAAATTAATGGGGCAAGAAATGCTACATAATTATATATTAAAAGAAATTATTGAAAGGATCAATCGATAAACATACAGTTATATCTGATTTGCATAGACAGAGTAAATTAAGGAGAATAAGAGAAAATTCAAAAGAGAAGCAAATATACATATGAAAATGATTTTAGAAAGAAAACAAAAGAAGGTTGAATAACCTAAATTTTCACAAAAACAAAATTGAAAAAACTTCAATTCTACAAATCATGAAATTGAACAATTAATTGGACAAGAACAAGATTATATATAAAGATGATTTTTAGAAGTATCCATGAAAAAACATATTGTTATATCTGATTTTCATAAACATATTGAATTAAGGAGAAGAATTGAAAATTAGGGAGAAAATCAAATATACATATGAAAAGAATTATGGAAAAAGAAAAAGGAGACAAAAAAGAGAAGAACTCTATTTTAAAAGTGTAGACAAAATAAAAAAAGAGATAAAAATAGGGATAATAAAACAATAATTTTTTTCTTTTCAAGAAAAAAAAAATAGCAATCAAACGTGTGTTTGAGAAAAATAAGGAGAACAAAAATACATTTAAAAAAAAGAAGAGAAAAATAACTATTCAATGCCAAATAAATAAAACAAAGTCTTTTTCTTGCTAAAAAATTAAAAATGGGCTGTTTATTGCTAATTTAGTCTATAGGGTGTTATGTTGTGCCATTTTGTCCTGGTAATTGGAATTGGGTCGGTTGCTAATAGTGAGTTGTGTTGGGCTGAAAATTGGCCCAAATTTGGTCTTTTAGAGAGTTTAAAGGTGAGGTAAGAAAAGGAGTTGGACTTGTAATTAAGAAACAGCCAATGATATAGTCAAATGAAGTTAAGGTTGTCGCCAAATTGATTTAATTTAGTAAATTCGGTTTAGAATTTAGATAAGATGATATTGATTCATTAAGAGGCTTCTTAATCTTAATGAAATAAAATAATTGACTTATTTATAAACTAATTAACTCGAAAACATAAACTATTGAATAATTAAACTAATCAAAACATTTAAGTAGAAAAAAATAAAATCTTTTTGAAATGATGATTAAATATTCATAAAATGTACTAATTATATACAAAATTATATATATTATTTTAAAATTCCAAAAGTGGCAAAATTACATAAAAATAACTTGACTAATTTGAATTTTATAAAACTAATTATTTTAAGTCGTTTGAAAAATTAAAGAAGCTCAATGATCAATTCATATTGTGGAGGGAAAAAATTGGGTATCAACAATTATACTGCCCGTATATGACAATATACAAGATTTTCATATTTTATTTTTTATAAATATATATTTTAAAAATTGATATACAACAGTATACACCCAATTTTTAAAAATACGTATATACTCATATACAGTAATATATAATACTATACGTTATTATACAAAATACGAACTTCATCTTCTTCCTTGAACCCAACATCATATTCATCCAAAAACTACCTCACATCACCCAAAATTTCATATTTAGGATCCTCATTACTTAACTCATTTTTCTGCAACAATTTGCACTCAAAAAATGAAGCTTATTTGTGGAAATTCGATTTTCAAATTTTGAAGCTCCGGTTTCAATAATGGTTGTCTATTATTTCAACGAAACATTAATAGTACTTCATAGTAACTCTAGTAAAGGAGATAAAACAATGACTTATTATGTAAATTTCTCCAAAACAGGGGTCATTATCAATGACCCAAACAATATACATACATACATACATACATATGAGATCATTCATTTCACTCCAAACAAGCAAAACAAACAACTCAGTTAATTTTACATATGCAAATAAAGGCTAATCAGTTAAAAACACATGAACATGAGTCGGGTATCATAAACTAGAGGTAACAGAGGAAAATAACAAGAAGTGTTGAGAACGGTTCTCTAAGTCTGATTGGTTTTAAAGGAAGTTTCTAAACAAGACTTTACATCTACAATATAAGGAGAACAAACTAATTATAAACTAGTATTATCAAACCAAAACAGCCTTGTTCCCTCAAGTTATAAGGATAATTAGCTTAGTTATAAACAAAGGGGTAGTAAGTTAATCCAAAACAAATGAGCTATTGTTACATCACCCAACTTCATAAACACCATGCCAATCATACTAGAGAATCAGGTTGTTCCAAAGAAACTGATAGGAGAGACGATCTCGCAATGAATCATTAGAAAACAATTTGTCAATTATTCCGGATTTTAGCCTTAACTAAACACGACTACACATACATAAACCTATAAGAAAAGGACCAGATTTCAGAACGGTAAAAAATAGGAGCAGACCACCACACCGCATCAAGACAAGGCAGAAAGTGATGTATCACAAATGCATATTTTAGCACCACGATTCGAGATAAATTAATCAATGCATCATACAAGCTGCTTAATTGGAAATCATTCTAAGGAAGTCAGATTTTTGGAAGCACACCAAAGCTAGAGCAGATGAGCCTAAAATTAGGTGAGTATGATGTTCGAAACAGCCTATTAAGACATGCTTATTGACTGCGATAACAAAATGAAACACATGACTTGCCGAAATGAGCAATAATCTTTGTCGAATGGATTCAAACAAACAACTAGAATAGAACAAAAGAGGTTACATTCTAACTTAGCTTGTAAAGAAACAGAGACAATTAAATTTAAGTTTTCAATCCTTAAAAAGGTTCAGTTATACATAAAAATATGATCCCTAAACTATAGAACTATGTCGTATCGACAATATGGGCACTGAAGAGCACCCGTCAACATCCAGTCAAGGATGCAGTCATGGTGATATATGTGGCCGCAAGGAAGAACTCGTAAGAGTCTTACCTCATCAAGCTCGGCCGTACATATAGCACATGTGTCAAAATCTCCACATCTCTCATCCCATAATGGGATCAATAGAAATGTGTCGACAATGACACTCGGCTCATGGTGTGGCTCCACAGGTGGAGGAGCCTGTTGCGCCTCCGACGCCTGTGGAGGAGCATCGTCGTTTGCCTCTCGGCAGCAACGACGACAGTAACGAATGAAAAAACAAATGAAAACAATGAAGATAGCTAAAAAGGCATAAAAATAGTACAACGCTGGTGGTGTCTTCACAGGCTCTGACCAGTACCTGGTCTGTCTGATCTCCGCCTCAATATGCCACGGCAAAATCAGCACCAGACACACCTACATATAAGAATTGTTCAAAATTAAAGTGTTAAATGTGTAGATGACATATATACATATATATATTCACATCTAATTGTTGGTTCCTACAGGCTATCCGCTGAAGCATTCAAGATGATGAAACCCAATTGTTGAGGGTGGAAGCCCATGCCATACCTATAACGCGTTTGACAAAAAATCCAAAGAGGAAGGCAGATTCCATCATCATCAATCTTCTTGCTCCGTAATCTTTAAATCTTCTTTCATTATATTTTGTTTATTAATTCCGTTTTTTTATCATTATCATCCCCTTAGGGATGAACAGAATTTCATTCTCTAAAAATAAGTGTATTTATCTTCTTCTGTTTCAAAATACTCTGTTTTAGCTGTTGTTTTCCTTTGGGTATATGCATGTGGTCTTGTTCTTTTGAAAAAACTTAAGAAGCAATTTTCTTTTGTCCCAAAAACTGAACAACATATTACTTTTGGACGGTTCAGTGGAGTTAAAAAACTTAAGAATCTATTTTCTTTTGTCCCAAGTTCTCATGATTTGCAAAAGGAACCTCCATGAAACTCTATCATGGGCTTTAGACAAGTCCAGTTTAAGGATGACATTTAAACCCTTCTTGTCTCTGGTCATGTTATGCATCATTTCCTGTGCTAGCATGATGTTATCAGTGATAGATCTACCTTTGATGAAGCCAGACTGATTAGGAGAAATGATTTTTGGAGTCAGTATGGTATTTAAGCATTTTGGAAATGATTTTGGAGGAAACATTTGCAAGGCTGATAGGTCTATGCTCAGAAAGAGACTCAGGGTTGTCTACGTTAGGAATCATGACAATGCAAGTGAGTCATGTATCTAGGTAGATCATTTCCAGAGAAGAAATAGCAAACCATAAGAAGTAGATCTTGAGTTAGAACATTATTTATTACTGCTTAATTCTTATAGTTACTGTTGTATAGGTAGATTATTTTACTGTATTAGTAGTTATTCTGTTTCCACTATTCTAGGAGTCCAATATTTTATTTTCCCTGATCTCTGGATAGTTTCCACCGTAGGAGGGACTCTATTAGTTTGCTGATGTATATAGTTCAGTTTATAACTGATTAAGAAATAATCGTTTGCTTCATCTTGCTCAAGTCATTATATGGTTTCAGAGCTCTCGTCTTAACTCTCCCGATTTTTTTTTTCGATCCTCTGACTACCACCGCAAACTCTCTCTTAACATGCCTGAGAACGTCCAGAATGCGGACTCCACCACTAGCAGCAACTCTAACGTTGTTGTTCAGTTTAATCCTGTGTCCCAGCTGCCGATAAATCTTGTTGGCAGCCATAATTTTTCTACTTGGAAGGCCCAGATTTCCATGCTCATGCACGGGCACAATCTGTTTGGCCATCTTGATGGCTCTTCCCCAGCTCCTTCCACAACTATCACACAAAACAATAGAGACGTCGCGAACCCAGCCTATAGCCTTTGGTTCCGTTAAGATCAATTGCTCCAGAATGCCATCATGGCTTCTGTCGATCCGACAATTGCTGCAACTGTAGCTGCTGCCTCTTCTGCTCAACTTGCTTGGGACTCTCTGCATCTTACTTATGCCAACAAGTCCCAAACACGAATATTTAGCCTTTGTGACCAGCTCGCACGCCTATCAAAGGACTCCTGCCCAGTAGCCGATTATCTCCATCAAGTGCGCTCTTTCTACAACGAGCTCGCTACAGCTGGAGCTACAATCACCAGCGATGAACTGGTGGTGAAAATTCTGAGTGGTCTTGGGTTCGATTTTCATGAGATTTCCGCTGCAATTCGAGCAAGAGATTCTATCATCTCTCTTATGATGAGTTGTATGCGAAACTAATTGATTATGAGCTCTTTCTCTGGTGAAAATTCTGAGTGGTCTTGGGTCCGATTTTCGTGAGATTTCCGTTGCAATTCGAGCAAGAGATTCTATCATCTCTTATGATGAGTTGTATGCGAAACTAATTGATTATGAGCTTGTTCTCAAACATGAGGAAGTGAAGAAAGAAAACAGTGCCATAACTGCTGCTATGGTAACTCACAACAAATCCATCAATTCCAACAACTGCGCTGCTCGTCGACCCAACAACACATCACAATGGCGTTCCAGCAATCGTACAACTGTTCCTGCGCAAGGGCGTTACATCAATAACCCTGTTCGCTGTCAGTTATGCAATAAACAGGGTCATACTGCTAATGTTTGTCGGTCACAGTCTCACAATCATTTAGAGGCATAGGCCAATTTTCTTTCAGGTAACCAAGTTGCAGAAAATCAATGGATTGTTGACTCCGGTGCTACTCATCATGTCACAAAAGAGTCTACCAATCTGGATGAATATCATGGTTCAGAAGGCATAGCTATGGGCAACGGTAAAAGAATTTCAATTACTCATCATGGTTATACTGAATTAGTTGCATCAAATAATGCTTTTAGACTAACTGATATTTTATGTGCACCTGCTATCAAACAAAACATTCTTTCGGTATCAAAATTTTGTCAAGATAATCTGACATCCATTGAATTGTCCCCGTTTTCTTTCTTTGTGAAGGACTTGAAAATGCGGGCGCCGCTGGTCTCCAGTCGGAATAGGAATGGACTCTATGAGTGGCCCAATTTCACTGTTAATAAACCTACTATTCAAGTTGCCACTACAACGGTTCCTTGTCAAGTCTGGCACCGTCACCTTGGCCATCCCCATTCAAGAATCTTGAATTTTGTTTTGAATAAGTTCTCTTCCAGTTTCATCCCCGAACAAGTTATTTTCTATAATTCTTGTTGTTCAAATAAAGTTCACCGTTTTCCATTCAATTGCTTATCTCTAATTAGTACTGCTCCACTGCAACTCCTTTGTAGTAACTTGTGGGGTCCATCGCCTGTCCTTTCAATTGATAAAAACGATACTATTGTGTGTTCATTGATCAGTACACCAAGTATATTTGGTTGTACACTCTTAAAAACAAACATGAGGTTCGAGACATATTTTCTAAGTTTCATCCCTTAGTGGAAAACTATTTTAAGCAAAAAATTGTCTCTCTGTATACTGATGGAGGAGGTGAATATAAAGGTCTTGATCCGTATCTCACTTTAAATGGAATTGAACACCTTGTATCACCTCCTCATACACCTCAAAGAGTGACCATCGCGGAGCATCGTCATCTGCACATTGTTGAAACTGCCAAAACACTTTTACATGAGGCATCCCTCTCTTCAAGTTTTGGTCGTTTGCTTGTCAACATGCTGCTTATCTTATTAATCGATTGCCCACCCAGCTTTTAAACAATACATCTCCATATGAAAATTTGTTTGGTGTTGCACCCAGATATGACTCACTTAGAACTTTTGGTTGTCTATGTTACACATGGCTTAAGCCTTACGCCAACCATAAGCTTGAGCCTAGGTCCACTCCATGTGTCTATTTGGGATTCTCCCAAGTTCATTATGCACAGCAATGCTTTGATCCCATTAACTCAAAATTGTTCATCTCACGCGATGTAAAGTTTTTTGAAAATATTTTTCCCTTTCACACAATATTCCCACATCTTAAAAATAAATCTTTTACGCTTGCGTGGGAAGTTGTTGGCACACCTACAGATTCTCAAACTCAAACTCTTTCGCCTGTTATTTCACCACTTTCTTCTCCTCTTCCTGTTCGAGACATTTCTACCAGTGGCCAAGCTTGTGAATCCGTCTCCGCCGACCAGAATCATGCGCATCCCTCAAGTTCAGGTAATTCACTTTCCCCTGCTTCTTTGCAACAATCCCATAATACAGCCCCTAACCTTATCACCTACCAACGCCGAAACAAAACACAAATTTTGTCACCTGCTTCTACAACCTATCCTACACAACCAGCGAGCTTGCCTTCAAATCCTGTAACCTCATCACCTCCTCCACCCCTGCCTCCTCCTCCAACCCGCCCAACAACCCGATCACAAAACAACATTTTTTGCCCCAAAAAACCATTTACTTGCCTTATCCAACTCCCTGCCAATGTTGCCCCTCATACCTTCAAGCAGACTCTTAAACACTCAGAGTGGAGGGTAGCTATGAAAGCTGAATTTGATGCGTTAATTCAGTATCAAACATGGGAATTGGTTCCTAAAGATTCTAATAAGAATGCTGTTGATTATAAGTGGATTTACAGGACAAAAAGAAAGTCGATGGTTCTGTTGACAGGTACAAAGCTCGGTTGGTTGCTAAAGGGTTCACTCAGCGTCTAGGTCTTGACTACCACTTCACATTCAGTCCGGTTGTCAAGCCTACGACAGTTCGTATTGTTCTTACACTTGCAGTTCGGCACAATTGGGTTTTACATCAACTGGACATCAACAATGCTTTTTTACAAGGCACACTTGAAGAAGGAGTTTTCATGAAACAACCACCTGGATTTGAGAACGCATCTCATCCCTCACATGTTTGTCATTTGCGTAAGGTTATTTATGGTCTCAAGCAAGCACCTCATGCTTGGTACAATGAACTGACATCCTATCTTTTCTGTTGGGATTTATCAAGTCTCACTCTGATCCTTCTCTCTTTGTTCGCAATGACTCATATGGTGTTGTGTATATTTTAGTCTATGTTGACGACATCATCCTTACAGGAAACAGTTCTTCACTAGTTCATCAGGTTATCTCTTCTTTGGCTTCCCGTTTTTCCCTTAAAGATCTTGGCCCACTATCCTACTTTCTTGGAGTTGACGTTCATCGAGATAGCAAAGGACTTCTATTGTCACAAGCAAAATATGTTTGAGATCTTCTCCATGACCTTTTGATGCAAGACTGTAATGGTGTTTCCACACCCATGAGCTCTTCTGAAAGTCTTATGCTAAATGATGGTACTCCATCACATGATGCTACTGAATATAGAAAGGTCATCGGAAAGTTGCAATACTGGTCTTTTACTAGGCCTGATGTTTCTTACTCAGTGAATAAATTGTCTCAATTAATGCATGCCCCATCTGAAGCTCACTGGAGGGCTGTTAAACGCCTCATTCAATATCTCAAAAGCACTGCTGATTATGGCATTAGAATTACTCAAAGCAGCAGTCTTAACCTCTCTGTGTTTTCTGATGCTGACTGGGCTGGAAACCTCTCTGATCGCAGTTCCACCACAGGTTATATAATTTTTCTTGGACTTACTCCAGTTAGTTGGTCATCAAAAAAATGTGCCATTGCCCGCTCATCCACTGAAGCAGAGTAC